TAATAAACAGGAAACTGAGTGAATGGAAAGGTATTTGGTAAATATATTACTGATTTAACACTTTCACGTTTTCTTTTCCAAAAAGAAGTAGCATGTGCCAATACATGTGGTATCAGGAAAAAGTTGACAGAAATAAATCAGGTTTGGTCACCAGCAGGTCTAAATATTTGGGCATTGTCTTAATCACACCTTAATTAACTATTTCCTACCTGGGAAGGTGGGAAAGTTACTTAGTCATTAAGTTACTGTAGAAATACTCAATATAAATCCTGTTTTGATTCTTGTTCCAGGCTGCTGCATTTAAATCAGAGAATCTAGACTCTATTTGTTAGATCATATGTTTGATACAAATAAAAAGTGTATTTTGTGGTCTAGACATTGACTGGAGCAACATTTATTGTTCACAAAAAGCTAAACTTAATGCAATTACAGCAGTATATGGACTAAGATTATATATTAACTAATGTGACAGAAAACCTGTTAGTGCTAGTGGGTTTTTCTTACCATAACCTTATTTTAATAGTTAGGAAAACATAACAGTCAATTAAACTCCAACAATTGCATTTAGATGATAATACAAGTCATTTTAAACAGAATATTTTGATAAAAAAAAAATAAAATATTCAAATATTTTATCAGTGAAGGATCCAGGATTATTACAATGAAGTCTGAAACATTTACTCTGCCTGTTGTAAAAAGGCATGAGCCTCTCAAGAAATACAATTAGAAAAAAACAAGGTGTCCATGGACAGATGCTTAGCATAAAGGAGGCATGGAAAAGAGAAATCCGGTAACAGTACAAGTTATACAAGACAAATTATACAAGACTCAGAAATTGAATGGCAAAAATTAACAGAAAGAAAAAAGAATCTGAAACAGGGTTTATACAGAAATGAATAACTCAAATTTAATGCTTTTTAATGCTCTTTTAATGCTCTTAGAAATAATTTTCATGCCACCAACATGTACCCATCGACAGGCTGCAGCCATGTCCTGAATTTCTCGTTTTCCAACCCCCCTCGTCTCTCTCCGACTCAAGCTTCTTTTCTGAACATACAACTTTGCGATCAACTGGAAGCAGTTCAACGCAAATATATCATGATATCGTATGTCTGATGAAATTGTTTTTATAAACATTTTTTTAAATAAAGCATTTTAAATGCCACAATAAACACATTTAACAAATTTTAAAGCCAATTAAGCCCTTAATTTAAAAAAGAATAATTTAATGACTTTTAACGATTTTTTATGACCCGCGAAAGCCCTCTGAAAAAATATGGAGAAGACTGAATGAAATGATAACGAAAAACAATAATCCAATGAACGTTTTTTGGGGAAAAAAGATGGTTTCTAACTACACCTATTGAAGTTGCTCATCATCTAAACAGAAATGCTGACTCAGCTAAATTGGCTACCATTACTGGATAGATTCTTTTATGTGTTGTCTTTCTTAAAAAAACTATAGTACCAACAAAGCCGCCAAAAAACTTTTAACAAGATCTTATATTTAGCAATTATTAGCATAATTATCACAATACACTAGACATGCCACTGTAGGAAAATTTGTTCTACCAAAAGAAAAATCAAAAGTGTTATGAGGATGTTAACATACAAAGCAAAAAATGGATGGTACATTTAAAAACATAGAGTAATGAAAATTTTAAATGCTGTTTCATTTCAAAGCCATGAACTATATTGAGTAGTCTGTGGTCATGCATTTCGTATTTTAAAGTATTGTCTTTGTGACAGCTTAGCTGCGCTAAAAGAGATCACAACAATCAATAAAATTAATTAAAAAAAATAAATGATAAAAAATCAATATTCCAGATGAATAACTTCATGCTAACGATGAAGGTATTTAAACTTCTGACTGGCACTGGATGTCCTATTTAATGACACCCTTACTCTAACTGTGTCAGAAGAAGCCAGCCTTGCTAAGCATGCATGTCAGTGCTCAGTTGAACCTCTCTTCCCCCCCTCTTTTCAGCACACAGAGATCCACTCTGTCTTGTCTTTTGTTGAGTTTTGATCCGACAATGTATGGTATTGAACTGAATAATAAAATCCATCAGTCTGGATGTTATTAGACTGCAATGCTTAGCGCTCTGAGGAACAGTCATTATGCAAATTAGATTGTACTTGATAGGGAGAAGATAGGCTGTCAGTGTTAGTTATTAAATATCTGAAAAGCTGAGGTGACACACATTCATCTCTTTTAGGGTATTTCTTGTCTTCCTGTGGAGTCTTTGTATTTTGAAGTTATTCAAAGCCTTTACCATATCCACAGAAGTATTTCTGATATAGATGTAACTAATTCCTTTATTTCTGTCTCATTGTTAGACATGAGAGTTTTGGATAATTGATCATTCAAAATTACATCAAAAAGACAACTTTATTTGTTGAAATGTAAACCATACATGTTTTTATTGAGTGAAACATAAAGTACCTCCTCAATTGACTATTAAAAATAAAAAACCCTTAAGTACCTTACCGTGTTTGTAATATTTTCTCCCATGTATTAAAGGATATTAGCTCTTTCATAGTTTTGATTTTTTTTCTTGTAGTTTGCAGCAGTTATATGTGAAAAGCGTTTATTTTTTCACAGTAGAGCAGAGAGAACTTGGTTTTATAAAATATTATTTTAGTTTGAACCTCTAATTCCTGGTTTTCTTATCGGACCTGAGCAGCTCAAAAGGCTCAGATCCATTCCATTCTGTTGCTGAACAAATATAATCTCATACAGCTGCTTGTCTATGTTCTGAAAGAGCAAACAATTGGATTTTATTTTGGCCAAATGAAGATAAGAAATAATTTAATTTGATTTATTCAGTGTTTACCCTCAGTCTAAAGCACTGAAACCAAATATCATAATTCAGAATTTTAATGTGGAGAATCGGAGCTCACAACCAGGCTTTGAAAAGAAAATGCATTGTTATTTCTGAAACCATAGAAACATATTAGTTTGCATATATAAATACATGCATATGTCAGTTTTTTGGAAGAATCACAAAAACAATCCTTTTGTCTTATGTAATAATGCATCACTGATAAGCAAAGCAGAACAAGATTATTCAAGGCAAACATAAAAGAACTAAAGGGCATATTTTATGTAACTACCTCAGTGTACAAAACACGAGCAATATTTTATGGTGAATTTAGGCCTTGAAGTTTACCCACATATGTGAATGGGATAGGTCTAAGAAGTTTCCATGAATACGTTATGTTTCTGTATCTATCTATCTATCTATCTATCTATCTATCTATCTATCTATCTATCTATCTATCTATCTATCTATCTATATAGGTATATATATATATATATATATATATATATATATATATATATATATATATATATATATATATATATATATATAGGATAAGTGTATAGATAAGTTGTATAAGAGCTAAATAAGCTAATAGCAATATGACTTGATCTGACATAACTCCATGACTTAATCTGCTGATATAACGGGGTCTGCTACCAAATTCCCAAACAAAAAATGTAAACTATTAGATTTTGGGAGAACCATCCCTAGGAATCAAAATCACACAAGTATCAAATGTTCACTTCAATTTAGTTGGACTGATGTTAGAAACCAATAGATAAATGCAAGTTACACCTTGAAGGTATTTCAGCAAGATAAGTAAAACTAACTATTAGTGCGTAGTGTGTCCCAACATTTCCCTCAGCTAGATCTGAGAAATCTACATCTGCTTTATTGAGTAAAGTAAGGTTGTTTATTGTTTAAGTGAATTTGAATTACTTTATCAAGAAAATAACAATTGCTTTTCTTGGATCTTCATTGACTTTATACATGAACTTCATTCAAGTGTATTCTAGTCAGTCTTACCTCTGGTTTCCTGATATCCCAATAAACTGTTACAATAACATGACATTTCAATGAATAGGTAAGGGTGTAAACCAACAGCTTTATCATTATATGGTATATTGATTTGTTTACATAAAATACAATATTTTGTTGATCACAAAGTCTGTCAATTCAGTTCAAAGCACAAGTAATCATTATAAATTGACATCATCTGCTCATCTAACTACAGTATTATTAACAACTCCAATAAAACAGGATCATTTTATTTTTAAGCTTTTACGGACATCAGTCATTTATGTTGAAAACATTATTTTCATTAAAAAAACATAATTAGAAAAAGGATTAGCTGTTTACTTTATTCTAGTGCCTTTTAAAGGCATATGTTTGATATGAAATATTTTTTCATTGCATTAATGTAATTGGATCTTTAATTTAAATTATTTATTGATTTGGAGTGATATGTTAAACCCCTTCCCACAGGTTTATTAAAAGCTAAATCCTAAATAACGACTTTAGTTTTTATTTTAGAAAATCATTCTTTATGTGTTTTGCAGTCATCAGATTCCTGAACCTGGGGCTTGGGGAAAAAAAGGCAGAGGTGGTGTTGTGGAACATAACAGAGTTGTGTAAATATCCACAGAATTCATACATTTGCATATAAAAGCTAATTAGCATAAGCCAGAGGAGGAACATCTTGAAAGGGTTTGAATGTTCTTGCTGGTTACAGCATAAACAGATTCTGCTGAAACTATTCTGAAAAACAACCATTTCTTTCATCATACAAGCTTTTCTCAATAGACGTGAATGTGAGGCTTAAATAATCCATGTATTTGGTGTGATCATCTGAACAAGCTATAAAGAAAAACAGAGAGACACCTTATTTAGATAAAATGTCTTATATTGCTGAAGTAAAGGTAGAGCACTATTGATTGGACTCCTTTTTCCTGTGTAGATACTCTACATGCACACCTCATTACTTCTAGAGCTAACTTTTCCGTTTCCATATTAGCTGTGTAATACGATGTTTAAGGAAAAAAATTTTGCTCTTGGGTTTAGTTATTGATCTGAAGGGACAAGTAAAAAATCAAATCAAAATTAACATATTGTATAAAGGTTGATGCCTTGATAAGCCACATAACAATTATACCAAATCTGATCTCTCTACAGGTTTTTAGGTGTTCCACCTGGAAGAGGAAGCTGCCCCCTGACAGGACCTTTACCGTTTGACCTCATGTACACTGACTACCACGGACTGCAGCAAATGAAGCAGCACTTGGGTCTTTCTCTGAGGAAGCACAAGTTAGTCCACTTCAGTTTATTTCTAACAGCACTTCACTAAATGCAGAAAGTTTGCAATATTGGTCTTATTACACTGCTGGGCATTTAAAGCCAAATAGCAGTCAAATGTATTATCTATCATTAGAAACAAATTAGTTAAACTTATTTAGACATTTAACAATGTATTAACATATCACAAAAATATTGAAGCACTAAACTGTTACATTACCTGAGCAGAATTAAAGCATATCTGAGTGCAGTTTCCTTTATTTTATGTCTGATATAAATCTAAAAAATACATACCTAGCCTAAAAAAAGGGTCTTTCTTTTTAATAATAAATCTTATACTGTTAAAAACTTGCGTATTTACATTTAAATGTGCCATATCTGTAAGGAGAAAATATCTGTTGGTTAAAAAGGTTAACAAATCCTCTCAGTTGATGGCAAACAGCAATGTCATAGCCTGATGCAACATCTCTCATACTTGAAAACTTACGGTGTGTCATCATTGGAAGCAGGCAGTCTCAGAGGAGAATATGTGCATGAGCCTCTGCCAATAATGAAAAAATCATATCTCGAGTCTTATGGATTGAACTCTATCCTTCTAGATGTCAATGCGTGTCCCCTGGTAAAACATTCATGAACACAATCCAAAGTATGTTTTGATTAAAAATATGACCATGTAAACAAAGAAATGAAAAATATAACAGGCTTTCCGTGGGTTTATATTTTTCTATAAAAAGCTAAGATATAATCCAGTATACCAATATCCTTATCTTTTTTGCTACACTTTAGTCCTAAAGTCATCCACCAATTGAAAGGCATTTGTAACTTATCATTTGCCCTCTGTTTTACATCTATTGTGTCTCTTCTTCTGTTGTTTGTGTGAAAACAAGTTATTGCAGCCAAATTTAATGTATAATGCTTTTGTCATCAAATCTTAGACTTTGCCTGATATTGAATCATATATGGAAAACTAACTTAGATGCAAAAAGAAATTAACATGTATATATATTTTTTTAGAATACTTCACTTTGTCTAAAGAAAAGGAAAAAAAATGCCATTTTTTTGTAATGTTTTATTGTTTTTTGGTTAATGAAATCCACTAAGCCAGTGACTTTATCTGATGTTATTGTTCTGTGAAAATTTGTATACATATTTGAGCTTTTAAGATCTCCAGAAAGGCTTTTAAACAAGACAACTGTACTTAAGTGTTTGCGGTTGATTAAGGTTTACCCTTCCTTCAAAGACTTTAATTTGAAAAAAATCAGATGTTTCAAGCTTTTAAGCTGTTGGAAAGCTTCTAAGCTGCAGATCTAAATTAACATGCAGATTTGACTGATAACTAGAGGGCATTGTTGGTCAATAGCCTCCCTCACTGAGAGATGTTTGGTTTCATGTACAAAGTGTTGAACTGGTTTGAAATGGTGAACTGTGTGTTTTTAAAAGCTTAAATCTGAGGCTTCCTTCTCTGTTTTGTGTTATATTTTATTTACCTAAATGGTTTCCTTCACTCCTCTTTTACACCATCTAGTATCACGTCCGTAAAATATTTTGAACCCTGAGAAGTCTGTTCCTAATCCTAAAAGTGTAGGTGCCCAGCGGATCTGTCCTGAGGAGTTGGCTCTCCCATGTTTGGCCATGCGTCCTTTGACAGGTTGTTTAGTTTCTCCAACCTAAAAGTTTTTTCTGCTCTGAACTGGATACATAATGCTGATCAGTTTGTGTTTGGGAATTTTCCTTAGAATTAACCAATCTTCTTCAATTATCATACTTCTCAGTTATTTACAGTAGGTGTTCCCACAGAGGGATGACCATAACTATGTTTTTGTAATTAATTGGTTCATTAGAGGATTTTTTGCTGCCTTGACCCAAAACCAGTCAGGATATCCACAGGTTTGGAGAGGAGGTATGTGTCCTTTAGGACATGAATCCTTAAAGTTGGTCCGCGAAGGCCCCTTTCCTGCAGTTTTAGAGGTTTCTCTGCTTTAGCACAGCTGATTCTGATGAATGCAGTTCAGCAAAAGCCTGTTAATAAACTATCAATGTAAATCAGCTGGAGCAGGGAAACCTGCAGGACATCGGCCCTCGAGGACCGACTTTGGGGATGCCTGCTTTAGGACATGTTCCGGTCATTGGAGTTGGGTTTATTGACAGAAGGTTTGTGTTTCAGAGGGCGGTCAGAGCAAAACAGAAGTTATTGATCTGTATTAGTTGACTTTCTGTAAGCCTTAATGTTGAGCTTTCATCAGACAGCTTGTTGTGATGTTTCCTTTCTGGTGAACCTGAAGATATTGCCCACAGTATTGATGTGTATTCCCTCTACTTTCTTTGCTTCATCTTGAATTTGACCACAATCAGTGGCCCTTTTGATTGTAAACCTATGTCTGCCACCTACATATAAATAGTATTAGCTTTCCTTTAGAGAGTGGTTGGAGTTACAGAGAAGTACAGCAAAAGGGCTGGAGAGCAACATCTGATTTCAGTATTGCAGGTCACACGCTCCTGATTTAGGGCTATTGCTTATTTCCTTTCAGCTCTGTAAAACTTTTCCTGGTACAGCAGAGGTCGCAGACTGTCAAATGTGGCCTTTGGCTTATTCTTATTGTCAAGGATATTTGTGTCTGCTAATCTTTCAATGGTCCAATTGATCAGATATTAACATTGGAAATAAAATGTAAAAATCATGTTTCATTTTTAATCATAGTTTCCAGTTTGGGATTCTTTCCAAATACATAGGGATACCAGAAACTGACTGAAACTGGAGGAATACAATAACTCATTATGATCACTTTGTTATATTGTTGGCAGTACGTTGATTAAAGGTGGTGGTGGAAAATAAGATATTTACTAATTGACTGCTTAAATATATCTCTAAAAAAAATGAAATTTCAAGCAAAACAAAAGTAGTTGAATAGAGGAGGTATTTTAATAACAACAGCAACTACTGCACATATATCAAATAAACCATAAATCCTTCACACTTATAATAACTTTGGAGGATTAACCCTGAACTCTGATAAATCTCGTCAGATTAACATCAATTTATTTCTGACCTTCTTGACTAAATAATTTTCACTTATAAGCAGTGAAATATTGATGCAAATTATTGTTTTGACAAAGAAAAACATAACCTTGTATTGGTTCATTTCTGGGATTCATTTCAATAACAGAGAGAATTTTCCCTTTTCTATTACATCTCAGATGCCATATTCGGGTGATTGACACCTTCGGCACAGAGCCTGCTTACAACCATGAGGAATATGCCACTCTTCACGGCTACAGAACCAACTGGGGCTACTGGAACCTTCATGGCCAACAGTACATGACCATGTTCCGTATGTTTATGCCTTTTTTTCTTTTACTTTGGTCTTACAATGTTTAAGACATACAGAATATCTCCTTAGCAAACCTATCAAATACAGTATCAACTAATGCCGGCTGAATATTGTAAAATCACAAAGTTATTAAGATGAGTAGAAGCGGACAAATGTTAGAGTGGATTTGTGCTGCTCTGAGTGTAGAGAAGACTGTGAGTGTAAAGTGCATCAAATCTTCACATTCCAAGCTATGGGCCAGGTTGAGTTTGAAATAATGTGCATGTTAATTAATGTGAAAGCAGATTATAGAACAGATAATAGAACAACTCCTAATAATTGTAGAGTCTTGCACTAACTTGCTCAGACCTTCTTGTCCTCATTCTCTGGATATTTGGCTGACATCCCCAATCATCAATGAGCTTTATTATTAGACAGTTTGCTCACAAACATTATGAGGCTGAGAGCCTGCAGGAGGCATTTTTTGGCCTCTGAACAAATATTCACCTTCCTGCAAGTGTAGCGGCACTCCAGCTCCTTTAGTTTCTTCTGTACCACTTTGGAAATCAGTCTAAAAAAAATTTATTGAAACGTGCGCAGTACCAGATAATATGATGTTATGATGTTTAATAAAGGAACAAAATTAAAAAACATCAACATGATTAAATCGGTCAAAAAGCGGTGTTGCTTCCAGCATATCTGTTTCCCCTCTTCTTACGTACTATATGCACACAAAAAAAAACAAAAAAACAGAATGGAATTACAGTGTGTAGGAAGCCCAAAAATATGCATTACAAATTTGCATTTCTATATGCTATGCTTTTAACGTTACAGTGTTTGTAAATTTAACTGATAATTTTAACAACAAAAAGGTGTCCATTTTTTATTTGAAACTTTTTACATATATCTATGAATTTACCTCCAATTGGCTCTTACAGCAGTTATTCAGCCCCCAATTTTTTTTTTAAAGAGTTGGGGTTTTTTTTTCAGTCTAACAGCCACCAGCCAGAGAGTTCAATCAGAACAGCTGGGTCGGCACAGATGCCTGCAGCTCCCTTCTTCTGGCCGCAATCACGCAGAAATATACAAAAAAACACCAACTGCAGACATTCATAATAGATTTAGTCAAGCCCCGGGGATTCAAAACTTCAGGTTGTCTCCAATTTATTCTGGAACAACAAGCTTCAACACTCTCTCCAAATTACAGTTATCATCGAGACGATTACTGAGAAATTTCCACCATCATCACTGGTGGAGATCTTGATGCAAAATGTTTCTTTTTTACTTCCCTCATCTGTTCTGTTTAAGTTATTTTTTGTTTGCTATGATTCAGGGTTGTTTCATTTCACCGAACCTAACAACTGCGGCAGGTTGTTGAATTTCTGAACTTCATGAACTATAACAGCTTCTGGACCCTGCATAAAAAAAGCAAAAACCTTTGTGCTCCTCTGTTTTCAGATGATTGTATAATGAAACTAGTCAAAGAACATTTCAACCTTCTGCTCTATGAAGCCTTGCTGCAGCTTTATTTTATTTCAAACTAAATTATGAGAACATCTGTATTTACTGAGACATGAAATGGGTTTTGTGCCATCTATTAGCAATTACTGTGTTTGTCCTTGGCAGCCCACACTCCAGACAACTCTTTTATGGGTTTTGTGGCAGAGGAACTGAATGAGACTGAGAGGATGTTTATTCAGAGGAACAAAGTCAACAACATGGCTGTTGTCTATGGCAAAGATGCCAGCATGTGGAAGGTAAGAATGGCACACAAAAAAATCAGCAATCTTTACTTCCCTTTTGCTTTGTTCTAACAAGCATCGGTTATAGGTTATAAGGTCAGCACACTTTGAACTTTTGGAACTTATGTCGCATTACAACCACAAACGTAAGTGATCTTTGGTAACAGAAAAAAACAGTGGAAATAATTCACAGGTTTTTAAAATTTTGATTAATAATAAAAATCTGAAACATTTGATAGGCTTTTCTAATCACTCCTCTTAACTTTAATAACCCAATACAAAATCTTGTGCATCAAATTTCCTTCAAGAATTTAAACCAATGGTTAAATAAACTCTTTTAAAAAACGACATTCTTCAACAGTGTTAAAGTTTAAAGCAGTTTAGGTTATAGAATTTTGCTCAGAGTTGCACTATAAGGCCGTCATTCAAGTTATGGCTGTCCAGCTATGACTTCATATTGCTATCTGTGGAACAGGAGGGGATGAAGTGGTCAAGGAAGAGATTCAGGACTACCTGTGAGGTAGCTCTAGTAATCAACTTGAGCTGTGCAGCTGCTTCACATGGGATTATTCTCTCACTACAGAACATATCAAGCATATTCTAACAATTTTAATGGTCTGTCTGGGCTAAATAAGAGCAGTGCCTGCCTGCTTCTGCTTATTATTTTTTTACAGTACTTCTACTAACAACTGTTAGACTCTGAGGTGAGAGAATTTCTCGAATTGACATGTAAACATGACCATGGGGTAAAGATCTGCTTATCACTCCTTAAGCAGCACGGATTGAATTTTTAGAATATATTTAAAGATTTATATATGAGTACTGTAGTACAACTGAACTAAAAGTTGTGACTCAGCACATATAACCTTAAGGGAATATGAAGACAAAAGAAGGTAAATAAGAAGTCCAGTTTTTCTTAGAAAATATGATGTGAAAGTTGCAATGGTCAATCCTTTATATTGAAAGAAAAGCTAATTGGTGAAAACATGACGAAAATGACAAGGAAATCATTATGCTGTTTTGATTTTAACAGTATAGGGAAACTGATTAAAGTTGATTTGGCTGACAGGTGGTGTTACTTGCACTGCAATTCAGAGAGAAAACATATTTAAGCCTTTACTTTAAAATGAGACAAGGCTCACTTTTTAGCATGATAGTTGTGCAGTCAGCGTAAAGTGGAGTGGTTTAGATCGAAGCATAATCATGTGTTAGAATGACCCAGCTAAAGGCCAGACATAAGTCTTATGCTGTCATATCCGGTTTGACTGAGTTTAAACTATGAAAAAAAAAATACATCTTCAGTCTCTGGATTTGCAAGGCTGAGACAAACCCAAAAGAGCTGCAGCTGAAGTATAATTGTGGTGAAAGTGTTGACAAAAGTGAGTAAAATAGATTAATAATTTGTATTTTTACTTAATAACGGAGCCATAAGAGTTATAAGTGGAAGTAGATACAGAAATCACACAAATCAGATACTTATTAAGTTGAATACATTAAAACTTAATGAGTTGATAGAGTATAGTACTTTAAAAATCTTTTATAAGGCACATAAAAAAGGTCCACCAAACAATATTCGAAAAAGATTTTCTAAAAGATAAAATGAGTATAACTGAAAAGGAAAAGATATTTTCAAAAAATCCTGGTACAGAACAGGAATGATGGAAAGATGTATTTCTATGCAATGTGTTGATTTGTGGAATAAGCTTATTAGTGAGATAAAGCAAGCTGAAGCTTATTTTATGTTTTAAAAAAAAGTAATTTTGATGAGTTGATTATCAGTCGATAGGCTCATGTATAGTTTTTCTCTGTTGCTGTTGCTCGTTTTGATGAACAAGGTGTGTTTGTTTTCTGTATGGTTATAATTATCTGAGTTGAATTGAAGTATTACTTGAAAATGGGGGCATATATAGTTTTTTACTTCTTAGTGCTACTTTTCTTTCATTCAAAATTTCACTTGTCAGCTGCACAGGTTTTATGTTTTTTTTTTCTTTTAATGAATGAATAAAATAAACATCACATCACAAATAATAAAAGAATAATGCAATCATATATATATATATATATATATATATATATATATATATATATATATATATATATATATATATATATATATGTGTGTGTGTGTGTGTGTGTGTGTGTGTGTGTGTGTGTTTGTTTTAACTTATGTCCTGCTTGGTGTTATTTCATTATATAGAGTTATGTTATAATATACTGAGTTACAGTAAGTGGTTGTTGAATGACCAAATGTGCAAAAATGCAAGTGGTTTCAAAATTTTTCCAAATCTCTGTAACCCAAGGTAAGGACCTTGTATGGACACGGCTCTAAGAGATATATTATATGTGATAAATAATGAGATTTTGTTTCAGTAGCTGCAAAACCCATGGGATTTTACATTCCCTGTATGCCTGATACTGAGATACTGATGTTCCTCTAAGAATCAGGTCTGAAGTGTGATGCTGGAGGAACACTTGCACTTGTTTGGAGTAAAGTTTCCCTCCAAGCTTCTGCCATTCTCTCTCACTCCTCCTGCAACTTCGACGTGCTGCTGCCTCCCTGAAGGGTTGTTTTTTTTTGCTTGAAACCGGCAGCAGCTTTGTTCCTTCACTGCCAAAGCCTTCCTTGTTCCTCCGAGCAATGTGAGCAGCAGTGTAACTTTGGTGAATCTGAGGATTTTCAGTGTCAGAGCTAGAGTGCAGGAGGAACAGTTCCCTCTAAGATTACCTTGCTTTACCTCATGATTAGGGCCAAGTTAGAAATACCAGTTTTGCTGATGTATATAATACAATAAATGCTAAATATTTAGTTTTTCTCCTAATTTTTCTTTTTTTTCTTTTTACTTCTCTTTTTCCTGCTTTCAAAATGTACTGTTCTTTCTGTACTTTTCCGGACATATTATTGATGGACCTACAAAGCTTCAAGTAAGTATTGTTGCTTAGTTATTGATTCTCCAAACTATTTTATCAAAGTAAGGTTTTAGTAGAAATATTGATGCCTACAAAATACGAATTTCTCTTTAACTGGGTATCAAAGCAAATGAAAGTTTGTACAAAGAACTTTAGTTCTAATGAGGAATTATACAGTATAAATTGACTATTGTATAATTAGGGACTTCTAATGATGCATTCACAGTGACTCATTCAAAAAGTGCAATCATTTTAAAAACAGGACCCCAGTATACAATTTTTTTTTACTACTAAAGATTCAAGTGTCTGATATGCTCACAACTTCATGAGTTTTTTGGTAAATTGCCCCTTATTTACTAGAAAATCTACAAACCTTTATCACAGTAAATACAGTTTTGGTTTAAGTATCTCAGTTATTTATCTGCTATGATGTTGATAAATAAATTAATTTTGACTTGTTGGTATGGACCTGCTTAGTGTCAGGTTAAGTGGAGTTTTGAAGATGTCCCAAATGCAGAGATGGAAGGAGGCAGAGATGAGTTTTTGGTGATTTAATGTAAATCCAAATGCAGAAGGTAAAGTCCAAAGAATAAAACAATAAAGAATAAATAGGAGACTGAACAAAGACTGGGCTAATCAGCAGATGAGGAACAGGGGTGGATGGAAGCATCTAGAAGGGAGCTAGGGGAAGGAGACTGACAAGGTGACAACAGAGGGTAAACAAGAAATTCACAAGAACTCAAATACAACCAAAAACAACTAGTTTAACAAATTGGAAATTAAATCAATGAAAACTGAAAAAGAAAACTTAAACAGAACCAAAACCATGACACTTGTTGTACTCATTTTTTAATAGAGTGGAGGCTAGATCCAGTTAAATAGCTTAATTTTAGCCTGCTTTAACACATTCTGAAGCTAAGTTGGTCGTGTTTTTATTTGTGTCCAAGTTTCAACTATAAACAGTACATGTTCTGTACTTATATAGCCCCTTTTTTCAAGTCGGGAGACTTAAATAAAGTACTACACACTGCATTCAGTTACTGACCAATTCACACACATTTTAATGGTGGTAAGCTATATTGCACCACAGCTGCCCTGTGGCTCACTGACAGAAGTAAGGTTGCTATACGCAGGTGCCACTGGGCCCTCTGACCTTACCTTCCAAGCAAGCTGAATTGCTGTGAGATTTGTGAATTTATAAGCTCCTGAAAATAAATTTTGCCCAAAGACAATAAACGCAGGCAGAAATGTTTCAAACCATTAAATTGTAGTCATATCTATGAGGTCAACCAGAAGCAACAGGCTAAAGCAAAACAAACACGGCTGACTTGGTGGAAGAGCTATTTTCAGTCTGTTTTAGTTTAATTTAGTAAATGTCATCATATGATTTTGGGGTGGGTGGAGATACAGTCATGTATGTAGATAAAGTATCCAAAAGAAGTGAGCATACAACCTTAATGGGCCCCAGTGCTGAAACCAAGAAGATATGTCAGTTATGCCCCAATCTGTAGATGGTCAATCATCAAGACATTCACCGTTTCTCAATATGCGTTCTTGAGCGTTCTCGTGTGCTCGTGTACTCGTGACACGTCATCAGCCTCAGCCCGAGTACCGTTCCAATTCTCAAGAACGCCAGATCGAGAACGCATCAAATCCCCGGATGTTGTTCTCACCCCGCCCTCTTTATTGAGCATGCATCAGAGCAGACTTGTGCGTTCTTCAGACTGACCGCTTTCCCAGAATGCCCCGCGGCCGCAGCTTGATTCGAGACAGCGCTCACAGTGTTAAGTTAAACATTCCCTTTTCTGCTGCTGTTGTTCTTCAAAAGTACGTTTTGAAATCGTTTGAAGCGATAACATTATACATTTAAGCCTCCCTGTGTGGTCTGTTTACAGAGTTAGTGCGAAATTTAAAAAAAAGTCCGACGTTGAGCGGACCAGAGTGACCAGCAGACCTCCGAGGGTAACCGCAGCCAGGGCTAAATTTACCCTGTCGTGGAGTGAACTTCTCTCGGTCTAGTTATGTGTGAACTACAGCTCGTTCTGATGGCGGTTTTTTGCGGTTCGGTAATTTTTTTTAATGTTTTTTAAGCTTTAGAAATTAAAAATATTGTTTTCAAAATGTTTTGTGTAGGGAATAAATAGTTTTGACTGTTAAAGAAATGCTAAACAACGTTGCCTGTGATGATGTCACGAGTACGCTTCTGCTCCAATACACATACGTGCTTGCGTGCTCGCGTTCTCGTCAAGTCCGATCTTCCTGCGTTCTCGCCAAGAACGGACTTGATGAAAACGCGAGTATGTACTCACGTTCTTGTGAATTGAGAAACGCCTTTTGATTCAGTCGCATACTGTAATATGTTAGAACAGAGTTACAATTTGCTTAATAACGTGGACAGCTGTCTTACGCTGGTCTGTCTCTTATCAAGATGTGTCACGGGTGTGACAATAGTATCCTCTGTTGACATGCTTGACCTTCACAGACCAATAATCTGTCTTATTTTTTCTACCACAGCATTGAGTGTATGGTCTGTATCAAAAAGGAGAGGGGAAATTGTGGTACCATTGTCTATCACAGTTTTAAAACATGCATGAAAATGAAGGAGCTCCTCAGCCTATAGGAGGTATTGATGTCTGTGAGTGGTTGAGACCTGCCTCTGTAATTAGTGAGGTGCCGGACACACACATCAGTAAATATTGTAAATATTTTTGTATAAATATGAATTTAACCTGAGTAGGTCAATAAAAATTTATAATATTCTGATTAGTGTTATTTTTATAATTACAGTTGTTATTTGCATGGTGATTAATCCGAAAATAATTGATTTAAATCGATCACTAAAACCTCATATTTAATATTTGTTAAGACACATATCAATGGTTATGGCATGTAAAAAAACAAAACGAACAATAAAGTATCTTTATTATTATTCTCTAATACATACCAATGGGATAACACTTCAGTGGCTTGTATAAATGATTTATGTCTCTGAGGCATTCATTTTTGCAATATTTCAGCAAAGGCATTTTTTTTTTTTTTTTCCGGTTAATATGTTCAATTAAATGACACAAGTGATATAACACAAGGCACAAGCACTGATATTACTTTTTGTCATAAAACTCCGCAAATACTGGGGTGGTTACCGACAAGATGGTGAAGGTGTAGACAAGGGTAAACTCATCTCAATACATTTCCTTCTTATCCTCATTTCAATTATCATTGACTTCAGGCTTTTATCCATTCCAAAGTAACTGTGTGTGCAATCATTTCATAGATCAATCCTGCTCATTTATATGGTCAAAGTGGGAGTGGTGCAGCAAAACAAGCAATTTACAGGGAATAAAGTCAATATACTACAGTTTTATCACAAACAAGAATGGACATATAAAAGCAAAGACTACTGTCTTAAAGATCCTTTTTAAAACCGCTGGAGCTATAGCATTTATGGAGTTTATTACATTAGTTTATACAAATATACAAATAAATTAATCCATAAGGCTAATGCTAAATATACAGTATAAGTAATACCAGTTAGGTGTATTTGATTGGAATTTACATTAAAATACTCTTTTAAATCAAATAATGTAACCAATAATCAAATATACTGTAGAATAAATATTTAAATATTAGCCGAAGACATACGGTAATTGCATTCTCTGATTTAGTTTTTTTTATGGAAACCTTTTAAAAATGTTTTGTTTTGTTTTGTTTATATAGATTTAATAGCTGCACTAAAATATCTCCCTAATATATGCACATAATATTTTTCAGTTAATTAATTGCTTTCAATTAGATTGAAATGAATACAATGTGGCTAAGAAAATACGATTTTCCATAGATTTGGTAGTGGGCTTTTAAAGACTGAACAAATGATATGATATAATAATGTAGTTAATCAAAAACATTGTTAACTATATTTTTTCTACTGCACACAAGAACCATTGTATTAACTGACTGCAGCTCTTTCAAGAGATTATCTATTTTCTTTATTCTTGATCTTCAAGGGTAAAGAAAATTTCCTGGCAATCCTGCATCGTTACATGGATATCCATGGTACTGTGTACTTTGAGACGCAGCGCCCCCCAGAGGTCCCTGCTTTTGTTAAGAATCATGGTCTGTTACCTCAGCAGGAGCTGCAGCAGCTCCTCAGAAAGGCAAAGGTCAGTCAAAATTATTGATTATTCAGTAATTGAATTTGCTTTATGCATATATGAATTTGACTTAAGTAAGTAAGCATCCATAAGGTATGTATTCACAAAACATCTTCTGTCTGTTTTTCTTGTAAGCTATTCATTGGATTTGGCTTCCCATATGAAGGCCCGGCTCCTTTAGAAGCGATAGCCAATGGCTGCATTTTTCTGCAACCCAAGTTTAATCCTCCTCACAGCTCTCTCAATCATGAATTCTTCAGAGGGAAGCCCACCTCCAGAAAGGTGAGTATAAAATAAATTATTCATGTTATTGTAGAAATAAAGAGTAAAGGCATCCTGTTTCAAATCCAGTATTACACATTGGTGCATACTGCAGTTATGAAAAACACTATTTCCAGTCTTTGCTATGGATTCATTCAACCTCATTTTAATTGGTCAGACAATTCCACATTAAATAAACAATAGATTTACATATTATAAGTATGAGTTGGAAAAAAGGCTTTTTGGTTTATAAAGGTATTTACATTGATCTTATTTGCAGAAGCTTTCCTTGGTCAAGTTTCTTTATTATGACCTTGTTCACTCAACCAATGGATCAGGAACATAGTATTACATTCTTCTCTGAGACATGCAGGTAGAAGGAATGTTTTCAACATTTTTTGCCGGCTTGTTCAGATTTTTTTTTAAGAAAAAGATTTTAAAAGGACAGGCAAAGGGTGGTGGAAAAGCACCACATGCTAAATTATCTACAACAGCTAGAAACATAAGACCATGTTAATTTATGAGGCTATTTGGAGACTGAAATCACATGTATCTATGTTATAGAAACGCAACTTTAACTTAAATATCTTATTAATTTTTGTAGAGAAACAGTCAAGATTATAATCTGGTCTTTCTTTGTTCTGTATATAAATCTATTGCTCAGTTGGAAAACGAGCATAATGTGTATGTGGACACAGGAACATAAAGAGCACCTTTAGAGATTTCCAGGCTGCAGACAGGGATGCACTCAATTTGCCAACCAGACACAATGTAAATTTCATTAAAAGGTACCTGAATCATATTTTTTAAGTGCTATTGTGCTAACACAATGGCTGCATATAGAGTGAGATATTTCCCCAGCAATAAATCCTCGAACTCATCTATGAAAACTGACTTGAAAAAACTGAGCATTATTGAGGGGTATATTGACTCAACAAGGAGACTGGCAGGAAAAGCTGGAGTTCCAGCAGAACCCTATAAGAAGCACATTGTAAAGAATGTCTGAAATCACAGCCATCAAAAAGGAGAATTACATCAATGGAAGATTGGGTTGAACGTAATGTGTTTTTCTACGGGTTTGGTTTAGTAGTAAGCATCACATCCTGCCCCCAAACAAACAGACCTCCAGACTTTTCCTCGGCCCATGGCTCTCCTGTCACACCTAAACTATTTATCATCCACCTCTGTCACGGATCACGCTGCTGCCCCATTGTTGTCTGCTGTCACATTGGGGATATCCATGCCCCCTTTTGACCTTCCACTCCCTCCTCTGTCTACAACAGTTATTATAAGACTTCCAAAGGCCATGACAGATTTATAGGATCTTTCAGCAGATTTTCAACTGAGTTAAGTTACCATTGAAGATATTTAGACTTTTTCTAGCACTCAAAAGATGCAATTTCTTTTTACTTAACTACAGAGTTGTTTAGCCAATGTTGAGCATCATGAAAGTCCTGCAGACACTCTTACTAGTTCAGGACCCAATTAATTTGGCCTGTTGTGAGGGGGGTTGCTGTTTGAGTTGCCATTATAAAACTGTTTTAAAAACCAAACTGTCAGTTGAAAAAAATAAGTTAATACAGAAGATAAAGAAATACATAAAATAAAGAAAAGACTGGGTCATGTACTATACTTTCTCCATTAAACAGATTTCAGCCGGAATTACAATGCAAGAAACACCCTAAGACTTCCATCCTCAACAATAATAGGCAGAACATTTTGACTGAAGGATTCTTTGTGTGATTGTAGCGATGCTTTCAATCATTTAATGCAACAAAACGGGAAGAAAAAAATGTAAATGTATAAACAACAGTGGTTGGCATAAAAAAGGCAGGAATAAATATTTATCTAAGACATTCCTTTTTTAACCCCTGTTTTCACCAAAACATTATAGTCTAAGGGATCAGATTCTGATTGCTGGCTGTAGAATATTTAATTCCTGTATCTGGGTGGTGAAGAAACATTATGCCCACTTTTCTCCACCTACAACATGTGAATTCCACAAAACTACACCAGTGGGTACTGTGTGACTGTATGTGGGATGTGTGTTTGTTTCTGGGTGATCCTATGAGGCATCAGACTGAGGACCATTTCACAGATTACATCATCAAAATGAGGCCCGCTTGAACCAAAGTGAAAACTTTTTGCTGGTCCTGGTTTCCCTTTTTGCCAACGGTTAGGTTTGGGACTAAGGGCCGGATCTATCAAAGGTTTGCGTGTATAAAAACGTGAGCTATTTCACTGCGCACGCTAAAAAATGTACAAACTGATCTATCAACAGCGTGCTAAAAGGATTTGGTCATTAAAACGTGCTAAATAGCGCCTCTTATCCATTTAGTACTTTTTCTGCAATGAATATGCAATATGGGGCGTTTACCAGAGGTGTCAAGTAACGAAGTACAAATACTTCTTTACTGTACTTAAGTACACTTTTTAGGTATCTATACTTTACTCCATTACTAATTTTTCTTCCTACTTCTGACTTTTACTCATTACATTTTCTCACGAGTATCTGTACTTTCTATTCCTTACATTATTAAAACAAACGTTACTCGTTACTTTTGGCTTCGGTTTAATGCAGAGGTCAGGGATTAGCGGACCGCGGTACGGTGTTATGCGGGAAAGTGCATCCCTGCTGAATATGCATCCCCAGTAGCGGGAGCGCGCCTCGCTCTGTACAACCACATATCAACGAGGGAAACGGATTAAACTATGACCATAGGCGGATCTACTGGGGTGGCATAGGGTGGCAAATGCCACCCTAAATGACAGCCTTGCCACCCCTGCTGCCACCCCAGTTGGCGGTAGGGGTGGTGAGGCTTATAAATTATGGATCATTTGAGAATTACAACCGCTAATTTCTGATGTCGGACTGCAGTGAATGCAGCACGAGATGACAGAGAGCGACTGAGACTGATTGTTTTGAAAACCGAATGGGGTAAAGCGAGGGAGCCAGGGGTGATGGGGAGAGGAGAAACAGGATGAAACAGGTAAAAATTCATTAAATATCTATCGAGAAATTAAATCATAATGAAAGCACAATGATGCTAGCATAGCTGCAATGCTGATTTTGAGATGATAAAAATCAGGTTGCAGAACGTTATTTCTCCAACTATGATGTTAGTTAGGCCTGACGTCTCAGGCTCATAAAGACATATTTGCGGTCAACTATGACAGAAAAGAGACAATCAAGTTTGGTTGTACTCAAATCAAAACGCACAAAGGCATTGGATCTAAATACATTAGTGAAGCGTTTTGCTGAGCAGCATGGAAATCGCAGCATTCAGCTGTTATAGTCATGTTAACTTTATGTTATGCTCTCTGGTGAGCCTTTACAGAGCTGTTACATTTTGTTTTGGCACTTGAAAAAATCTGATATTTCCTTTAATAAAACCAAAAGTGTTAAAAGTTATAATGTGATACTGGTGTAAATCCTGCTTAATATGAAGCAGTGTTGTTGTTTCTTTTTTGTATATATAGTATGAAACTATCCAGAAATGACCCGTATGAACCTACTCACAAGCAAAATGTATTTTTATGTTGCTTCTTTTCAGATTTGTGGAGATTTTGATGTAACATACAGAACCCGCCTTTTTGTTGATTTGTTGATACAGCAGTATGGAGGACCAACTCTGCCATATTTAAAAATAAATACAGAAATAAATAAATGCTCAATAAATAAATAAGCATACAATTAATTGCCACCAAAAATACAAACAACAAATAAATGTAAGTAGAAATTAAATTATACAGCTAGTCATAAAGGTATATAACTCTTTTTAATTCTTTGCCTTTTTAATATTTACCCTATTTATTTTTTTGTCATTTATTATCTTCAACTTCATTTTTTAATTACTTATATTTTAAAGTATTTATTTATGTGCATGTTATAATATTTTTGTCTGTTTTATTCTTCCTTTGTATTTTTTTACCCTAGTTATTTCTTCACCGCTATTTCTTTCTGCCTGCCCTTTTTACATTTCTGCCTGCCATTATAATATAATTTCTAATTACATTTATTTGTTGGTTGTATTTTTAGTGGCATTTATTTATTTTTGTATTTATTTTTAAATATGGCAGAGTTGGTCCTCCATATACAGCTCCATCTACAGCATATTTACATGCAGGAAATGTCCCTTTCATGTTGCCGTAACTGCTGTATGTCAAGTTACTGAGGAACAAATGTGGTAAATGTGTGTTCAGAGTAAACATTACATAGATGTCCAGTACCTTGTTCGGGTGCGTTGACCCATTTATTTCTACTGTGTAGTGATGCTCACTTTAGTCCAGCTCAGTCCATAGATCTCTGATGGGGAACTTTTTCTTTCTATAGTTCCTTCTTGTGCAAATGCTGCAAAGCTGCCTCTCTGACAGTCAATCTCACACATCTACTACTCAGCACCTGTGTCTCACCTTAATACCTTTCCTGTCATAAGGCCCCTCTAGAAGTAGTGTTATCATTCTTCTATCTCCTATTAAGTGAGATCACATTGTACGAAGTATTTCTAATATGAACTGTTTCACATGAAACACTAGTACTGTACATACTATTCTCTCCAAACTGTGATAACTGTGATTAAATTCAGTGTAAACAAAGGCCATATGTTGCCACCCCTAAAAAATTCCTGCCCCCCTCTTGCCACCCCATAAATATTTTTCTAGATCCGCCCCTGACTATGACCATTGGAGCTACTTGTTGTTATATTAATGATATAAAAACGTTTAAATATTCCTCTCCTGGGGAAAACATTTGTGATTATATGGAAGATTCATTTAAAAAATATATGGGCGTTATGAACATCATTTAATCCAAAGATTTTGACCGAGGAACGGCTGATTTATTTGTTCTAGTCTCTTGTTTTTCACACACAACAATAAACAGTGATGCCGACGTGAGTTTGGAAACTGCAAAGCTTTGTCTGAAGCGGAAAATCAAACGCGCATCAACACAGCACAGCGTTCACAGACCAGTGTGATGCATTCACGAGCGTCAGATAGCTATGGTGCATTCAGGAGCATGG